ATTGAGGTGCTGGCATAAATTGACTTTTCCATAAAATTTTGGTTTTGCTTGTTCGTTCATCTGCTCCACTGCCAGTTTGTAGGAGACAAATAGTATTTATCTAAAGAAAGCAAATTTTTTGTTGTTTTTCCAAATATCCGTGCCTCCAGAAGTCCTTAACTGCCCATAAGAACTCATTGTGTTGGATAGGCATTTTCTGTTCTATTGAAGCAGAAACCACTATGCTAAATATTTTCTTCATCATATACAATAGTGTATGAGTAATAACTCATACATTTTGCAAGAGGAAATAAAAGGACATGTCTTTATCTGGTTTCACTGCCACTCAGCTTCCAGCATGGGTGATAGGTAGAACTCCCATTTGAAATTTAGGTAATAGTTTCATTTGTCTGTTTACATAATACTAATGAACTTCCACCGAGTGTTTGCTTCCTACAAACTGGCAGTGTAGCAGATGAATGTTGATCATGCGAGTTCAGCCTTGCCCAGTTCTCTGCAGTAGAGAATAATCAATATTATACATAAAGAATCTATGGAAAAAAAAGTGTTACTTCAACACATACATTAGTCCATTATCCCTAGAAGGGTGGTTTAAGGAATGGACTTGACTTTTGATTTTCAATACCATCTGTGAATGCACAGATATAAAAGCCTTCAAATTTGTAGGTATTTAAGCCTACATCTGTTTTAAAACCAAAAGTTTAAACCAGATCAAACTTAATTGCTGATATTTTTTACAATTTTTTCCTCTTATTTGTCAAAAATGTGTCTAGTGTGACATACACTAGATCTCATAAAATTTGAGATTTGACTGCACCAGTGAGTATTGTGCTGGGAACTCTCCGTAAAGCAGGGATCATTCACATCCCCCAAATTATCTCTGGAACATACAGGTACAATTTATTCTAAAAATTTTTGTTTTAATTCAGACAATAATGTTATTTACTAAAGTGCACTGTATAAAAATCTTATAGCATGCAGTGAAATCTTATAACATGCAGTGAAAAATATGTATCCAGTTATTTTTGAATAATAGATCATACATAGTAATTACTACTGAAGAGTTTAATCAGTTTTAATAGGCATCTTTTAATTCTGCTGTCCTTTTGTGTTGATAAGGCTACAACTTCTGGCAATATTCTTCTATACTGTCACTAAAAACAGATCAATTACAGCATATCCTTTTAACAAGTTTGAAATAAAATATGCTAAGGATATTAAAAATGTGCCAAGTATGTTACACCCGCTGCCAGTTTCAGTAGTAGTAAATTATCCTGTTTTGCAAGTCATTGCCTGTTCCTATTCACAGATTATATGAATAAACTTCTATCTTTCATTCAAAACCTTCTATTTTTGAGCAAAATTTGGAGGAATTTATATTTTTAAGTGTTTGTGATTAGACACAATAATGAGAGCAACTAAAAAAATCTCGCAGGCTTTTTCCACCTACAGATTTTCCTTTCTTTACTGTAGGATAAGTCTGACATTTCAGCCTCTAGCTACCATATATGTTTTTGTTGTTAACAGAACTTGTTTATTACAAGAAGTTGATTTAATACAACACTGGTTAGGAAATACATTCTGAAACATCCAAATTGTGATTTGAATGGAGATGATGTGGGTGATGCAAAACAGTGGTGTGGTAAACCAATTTAGAAAAGAGTCCTTTAAGACAGGCTGTTGTGTATAATGAAGGGCACTTAAACTTCAGAGGCACGGACAGATAGCATTTTCTTCCACTGGTCAAGTACTCAAATACAATATAATCAGCAGTTTTCATAACACTTTCAATCTTCAGTACACTAACAAAGTTGTATATGGTGGTAAGTTAGCTTGCTCCCTTACAGTGGGTAAAGCAGACATTGAGGAGGCTGGCCAGAGTTAATACATCAGCAGTGCAGCTGGCTAATCTTGTTTCTTGTTGGATTACATTAGAAATGCCAGCATTAGTTGATGAGGCTTAACTAGTTCTTGTATTCTTGGTGGCATTCACCTGAATCTTCCACATCCTTTATTTTGTCCTATTGCTTTCCTCTATGTCCTGTATCAGTGCAAAACTATCAATTAAGTTGTATTTAGGTGATGCTGCCTACTGATGGCAGCTCCGGGAAATAGCCTTCTAGGGGACTCTTTTCACTCTGGAGAGTTAATAATAGCCATTCCAGTAAACAACCTTCTTGGGTGATGGTGACTGTGGTATGTTAACTCTGAAACCTACTGATAGGAGCTGCAGGAGACAACTTTCCAGTGGGTCATGGGTGTTAAATCTGGAGCCTAATGACAATGGAAGCATCCGAGGGACAGAGGCATATACCCTGGAGCATATTGATAAAAACCACAAGAACTATCCCTTGTGCTGAACATTTGAAGAATGAGGGGGATAATTCTGATCACTACTGAGAACTTTTAAAAGCTTATGTTCTATGGTTCTCTCCTTGTATGTTTATAGTAAAGGGGTAATTCTTGAACCTACTGAGGAGTTTCAAGATATCTGCTTTACCCACTAAGAGTGTACCTGGTGTGCTCATACTGATGGGACGGGGCCTCCCTAAACTGGAGGAATTGAGCTGAAGCACCCCCTATTTCCCCATGCCACACGTCCCCAGTGTCCCTGCATGCTTGTCAAACTTGGGGGAATACCAAGGACTGATGGCCAGGATCAGAGTATCCCAGGAGCTGATGGCCTGGAGAGGGGAGTCCCCAGTGTTCCTGCACAGATGTGATCTTGCCCTGGGGTCATCTCTGTCCCCCTGTGCGATGAGTCCCTGCTGTGCCCATGTCCTAGGTGTCAGTGCTGACAGGGATCATCCGGACCCAGATAAAGACTTTGCTGGAGTATATGTGACTGTGGTCATTGGGACACTCCTGCCTGTGGCAGCTGCAAGCAGATTGCTGTTACCTGCAGCTCTCCCTCTGGTGCTTCGCCACTGACAAGCAAGTGGTGTGGGGTCAGCTGAATGAGGTGGCCAGCAGTGCTGTCCACTGCCTGTGGACATAGGGCTGCCTCAGCTGCAGCCCCATGGAGCACAGCATCATCGAGCTCATCTGTGAGTGTGGGTGGGACACAGGGACATGCAGGGGCATGGGGTGATGTACAGGACGTGGCATTGCATAGTAGGGGGCCACAAAAATGTGGGGCATTTGGGGCAACAGGAGGCAGAGCTGCATGTAGACACCTCTGGAGGGGGGACACATCTTAGGCTCTGTTACATATCTGGGTACAGACCCATATCTTGTGCATCATCCCTGCACATACACGGGGACACTCAGGGTGTCCTCCCACACACAGCAAAACTGAAGGACAACCCATGGCAGTTTGCAGGCACAACCCCTGTCCCCACACAGGGTCACTCTATGTCATCAATCCCCATCCCTGCCAACCCTGGTAACACTCCTATTGCCCCCCACTCCAGCGATGCCCTCAGTGTGTGCTGATGCCCTGTGTTGCCCCATTTCTTAACTGGGATTGAATGGTACCTATGAGGGGAGGGACAGGCAGCACAGCAGGAGGTTTTGTGCACTGAATGAAGTCACTGGCTTGTCTCACGCAGAGATGAGAGTCACGATAAGACAGCAATGAAAGAGAAGCTATCTCAAACCATAAAAACTTGGGGACTGAAAACCTTAGAGCGTTGCTAAACAAAGTGTGGGTAAACGATTGGGATCATAAGCAAAGAGGTATGAAACCTGGGATCATGAAAACCTGAGGGGTAGGGCACTCACACTGCAGATGTAAACACTTGCATACTATTGACAAATTCAGAATAATGAAACTTAACCCTATCAAGCCCTTCCAGGTCACTTCATCTGTCTCTGGAGCATCAATATTGAAAAGCCTAGTGACCAGGAACTCCCTAAACAACCTGAAGAAGTGGGCAGAGAGGGGGACAAAGCTGCTCAAAGAGATCAGGAGCATCTGAGGAGTGATGCAGACACTGGGGTCCTTCAAATGGAAAAGCCAGAGCAACTGAGATGAAAGCTTTGCTCTCTCCTGCCCCTCTAACAGTAAGATTGTGGCACAGATGTGTTGGAAAAACATCAAAAGATACAAAGGACAATCTGGGAATTGGACACTATCAGCTTCCCAGCTCAGTTCAGGGGATCTCCCATTGTAAATGACTGCAGGCACAGCAAGCGGTTGTTACAGCTAACTCACAACATTTATTCACCATAGAGGAAGGCCATTATTACATTGTTGCTTAAAGATGGGTAGAAGCTCAGGGGTTGAGCCTCACCAGCAGCTAAGCCACATTAGCAGTTTACTCACTCCTTTCCCTCCAGAGCTGGATGGAGGAATGAATAGAAAGGCAAAAGCAAAAACTGTGCAAAGTTTGAGATAAAGACTGCTTAACTCTTCCAGTCCTTGGGGAGGCTGTTCCTCCTTTCTGGCCAAGTGGTGATGCCAAAACAATTCTCCTCTGACTGCTAGGGAAAGGGGTGGGAATTGGAGTGGGCAGTTCTCACAGGCTCTTTGAGGCAGGAGCCTCTCCCAGCTTCATGGTCAGCAGTTCATTCCAAACTTATCCCAGTGACCAAATCCCTGTCCTCAGGCACCACTTGACTAGAAAGGGCTGTACTGGGTATCTGTGCATGGGGACACAAGCAGGTCTCTGTGTGGGGAATCTGGGTGGGGCTGCCCCATGCTGCACTCAGCCAGTTCCACGGCAGCCCCATGCCCAGCCACAGTGGAGGCAATATGGCTGCTGCACGAACAGCTGAACAGCCATCCTCAGCATCACAATGGGCCTCACCCCATGATGGCCCTCATTGGGTGAGGGTGGCCTTTTGTGATGTCACCTAGTGATGCACATCACCGATGATGGATCCACCTAGCAATGGATTATGAGGACACCGAGGACCTGGCGTCCCTCTCTGGTTATATCCGGGCATCCCACCCAGCCAGTGCCAAACTCCAGGCAAGCAAGTTTGCAAGCACACGTGTCTGAGACTATCTTGCTGCTGTGCAAACGCCGTGGTCCTAGGCTGCTGTGTGCCAGGCCAGCAAAATCTGCCTGTGGGCACAGCAGGGAGGTTTTTCTGCATTTTTGCTACAAACTTGCTGCTCCCCCCATCCCTCCTCCTCTTTTATTTGCTACTTGACTTTCCTACTTCTCTACTTCTTTACGTTTTTCTGTGATGTTAGTTTCACTTTTTTGCCCGTCTGGGCTACAGGAAAGCTCCACACCAGGGCCCTGTCAGGGAAGCCCCTCGGTAGCTCTCCTGTTTTTCCCATAGTTTTTGTAGCCACCAACATGGAGGGACCGTGGGTGGGCACCTGGAGGCCTCATCCCCGACGTGGCCCCATTCTGGCAGAATTCAGCACTCCAGGACCTAAATACTGGATCCCTGGGACAACAGGTAAACCAATGATCATGGGGAGGTGTGAGGGAGGCACAGCACATCTGCTGTTTCCACTTAGAAACTGCCCTTCATTGTACAATTGCAGGCAGATGTCCTTTCACAGGCTTTTTTTCCCAGGTCACGCGTCTCACGATCCCACCAGAGACAAAGCCCCTGCATACACATTTAGAGGGGCCAAATGTCCAGTTGCAGAAAGCTGCTCTCCAGGTCCTCGATACTTCATCCATTCCTCCATCACCAAGATTGGGAAATATGTGCCTCCATCAGCACACCTGATTGGACGTCCCAAAACCAAGTCTGTGGTCACCCCTGGACCTAGTGAGTACTGTTTCTGCAGCCCTTCTTCCAGGCCTTACTGTTGTCCTTTGCCACAAAACCACCTCTGAATGGGCTTCAGAGTGTTCCAGACAGCAAACAAACACCTCCTCCTGACCTCTCCTCTTTGGCTTGCAGTTAGGTATCCAGCTTCACTGCTTTTCTCGGCTTTTCCTCTCTCTCAGGTGACTATTCCACAGAAAAGGCTGACAAACATGTCTACTCTAACGCACCGGTACAGTCCATGGTCTTCCGGCACAAGCTCAGTGATGCTATCCAAACACCAGGTATGGGAACTTGGGGAAACAGACTCTCTGCCTATGTGTCCTCCAGAGAACATCTGCTGCACAGCTTCTTCAACAGGCCTAGCGAGAAGCCTAGGTGACAGGATGTAGTATGCTCTTGACAAGCTTCTTGCTGTCCAGGAGCACTAACTTCTCCCATCTCACAGAAGAACCAGCACTCTGGCTTTGAATGGCCAATGTATGCCATGTGCAACAGAAGGCAGAGTCACTGGGAGGAGGGACAGGATACCCATCCTGCTCATCAGAGCTGGTTTGGTAGACTGATTCTCTCCTACCTAGGCATTGCTCCCTTTCCCACAGGACTCACCCAAGCTCTCTTCCCATTCCATTTCCAGGTCCTGGCGCCTACACCCTTCCCAGGCTGCTGGGACCCAACACAGTCTACACCCATGCCAACCCATGCTACTCCATGAGATTCAAGAGTATGTACAACAGCTGTTTTCAAGACCTGGCCAAGGTGAGCTGTGCTTCTCTGCTCTCTTGCAGCAGCAGTGGAAGCTCAGCTGCTCTCTTCAGGGCAGCAGAGCTCCAGTGGCTGCTGCAGCCCCATGTAACACACTCTTCCCTGCACCTGCAGTAAAGTCGGAGAAGCCATGGGGCCCCGGGCTCTCTGCTCTTACCAGCAACACTGACACCTGCAGTCCCTTGCTTTCCAACACTAACAGCTTTGGTGGGGCACAGCTCATTGACACTAACAGCAATCTCCCTTCTCCTCTGGGAAATCTGTCTCTGCAGGAGAACAGGAGGTGCCCTTCTTCCCAAGGTTCTGTGCCTCCCACACCACTTCTCTATCTAGCCACCTAGAGCAGTGCAGCCTACATGGGGGCTCGGCAAAAATCAACACTGTCTTTTCTACCCACCAACCTCCCTGCTTCTTTTACAGACACCAGGTCCTGCGGCATTCTCCAAGGTGGAACTGGATGTCTACAAAAACAGGGCTCCCAAGTACACAATGGGACTAAAAACTAAACTTAGTGACAAGACCCTGCGTCCGGGGCCAGCAGACTACAGCGTGGGAAAAGTAAGGCAACATGTCCACAAATGTGTTATGCTGGTTGGCCTTCACTTGAGGACAAGTCTGGAGAACAAGGCATCACTGTCACACTTATTTCTTCCCACTTTGCCCTTCCAGGTGACGCTGATCAAGGCCCGGGAACCTGCTTACACTTTCGGACTTCGTCATTCCCTCTACAAAGCTGCTTTATTACCTCGGATGCCTCCTGAATAAAACCAGATACCTCCAAAGACCTTTTCTGTTTACCCTCTGCTGCAGGGATGGGTAGGTGTGCATGGGTGGAGACCGTTGGTTCTCTCCTTTCCATGTCTACGCCTCAGCCAAAACACGGTAAGGTGAGGGCGAGGGGAGAGCAGTGAAGTAACAGAGTGAGCAAGACTGACATCTCCAACAGCACTGTTTTACCTGACCGGAGCAAAGCACTGTGCTGTGAAAGCATTCCAGTGCCACCTTGCACGCTTTCATCCTACGGCTAAACATCCCACAGGTGTAGGTTGGCCCCCAAGGGCACAGCCCTTCTCAGCATCCTCCTTTACAATGCACATGGGTGGCATCTGCGCACCAGGGTGCACCCAGAAACACAGCTGCTCTGCATCACCTCTTGACACAGGCAGGGCTTCATTTCCACAGGCAAGTCACCGGAACACCAACAGTTACGGAGAAAGAATCATTACACTCAGTCTGAAAATGCAAAAGCCCAGATGGCAAGGGACCTTGGAAGGTCCATCCAACCCTTGTGTGAGAAAGGCAGCCTGGAGGAGAATACCTAGCACCCAGCCAACTGCAACTTGATTGCCCCCAGCGATGGGATTCTACTGCTGTTCTTCCCTTCTGGCTAAGTGGTGATAACAAAATGATTCTCTCCTGGTTTCTAGGCAAAGGGGTGGGAATTGGAGTGGGCAGTTCTCATAGGCCCTCCGAGGCAGGAGCCTCTCCCAGCTCCACAGTCAGCAGTTCATTCCAGACTCAGCCCAGTGACTAAATCCCTGTCCTCAGGCACCACTTGACTAGAAAGGGCTGTACTGGGTATCTGTGCATGGGGACACAAGCAGGTCTGTGTGTGGAGGATCTGGGGCTGCCCCATGCTGCACTCAGCCAGTTCCACAGCAGCCCCATGCCCAGCCACAGCAGAGCCCCTTAGGTAATATGGCTGCTCCACAAACAACTGAATGGTTAGTCTGAAGATGGTGCCAGCAGTGTCTGGGTGCCCATTCATCTGACGGAAGCGTGGGTGTGACAGCGGGAGGCAATAAACAAAGTTCCCAGGGTTGTGATACTCAATCCCCACTGTGTCCTCAGTGAACGGACATCCCCCATAGCTCTTAGAGGGCACTGCTAGAGGAGGGATATAGTCTTTCAGGGAGCTGTGACAGTGGAACCCATGCTAGAGTGGACCCAGGCAGCGCCTGAGCATGGCTCCAGGCAGGAGCTCCCAGCGGTGGGGTGCAACTCCCACGGGGAAAGGAGAGTGGGCAGCAGGTAGTTTTTTTATTTTCTCACTATCTGAATAAATAGCAGTAAATTACACTAATTTTCCCCAGCCGAGTCCATTTCATGCATCGTTATCTCCATTGACGAGCTTTTCCACATTATTTTCCACCCCTGCCCTCCTGCTGAAGATGGGCCTTGGAAGACCTTTACTGTCGGTGTCTCCTCACAGTGAAACTCAGAGCAGACGTTTTCCTTCTCAGGTGCCCTTGTCTTTGAGTTGAAATGCCTTTGGTTAAAGGAAGTATTTTAACTAAAATTATACCAAGATCTAGGTGAATTAAAAGGAGCAGAGCAAAAAAAAGTTAGAATAATAAGAAACATCAAAAGCTGCTATTTCAAAGGACGGACAGAATGTAGCACCCCAGTATTTGTAAGCAGAATTTGCTGCTGAGGGTAATATTCAGGAACAACTCTGTGGTGCCACCTTTGGGAGCTTAAGCATGCAAATAAAGGCAAGAGAGGCCTTTCCCTAGAATGCAGAAGAAACTGAGCAGACTTTCCTGTGTGCACTCTCAGGGCACACAAGAAAAGCTGGATGCCAGCCACAGACACATAATGTTTTCAAATTTCTTCCCGGTAAGTAAATATAGATAAATTCTCCCTACATTGTAACTGCCAGTGTGTTTAGCAATTATTGAAAATGCTGGTGAGTCTGATAAGTTATTTTCATGTTTAAGTTTGCATCTCAGTTTTAGGGAACAGTTATTGAAGGGAAATTTGTCAAAAACATTAGCAAGAGTGTTATTATATTAGTCTTAATGATGGGAAAGCAAGCAGCATGTGTGCTCTAAGACACTGAATCTCAACCAGCCAAATGGCAAGGATTGGCCTGAAATAACTAACTCTCCTCTTGAGACTGTGACATGCTATCGATTTGCGTTGCTGAGTTGTCTCAGCATTAACTTGAATAATTAAAAAATTTCCATAATGAAAGGCTTTTTATGGTTAGAAAATCTGAAGTGGCTGCTCTCTCTGAGAGAAGCCTGTGTAGTTCACTTGTTATGGATATGTTTGTTCTGTAAAAGTTTATAGAGGAGAACCTCAGCTCTGTTTTGTCTTCTATAGTCTTTTTTTGGACACACATGACCAGAGAGAATTGTTCTCTGTCTAAGGGAATTTCTTTTTTATACTAAAACACGATGAGGTGGTGTATCCACTTTAATATGTTCCTACATTTGAGGATAAAGGATAAGCTAAGATATATACCAGAAAAAAAAAAATCCCAAACATCCTTATTTCATCCTCATTTTTTCTCTGGAAGGGATTTAAGGACTCTGGCCATCTGGATGTCTGGCAACTCAGTCAGAGCTGTGGCTACTGTGTGTGTGCAGATTAACTGTGTAGCACATGCACAGTAAGTCCAATGTGTCCAGTACACATTAGACCTGCTGCACATGTGCTGCACAGATGGTCTGTGCATACACAGTAAATCAGCTATGTTAAGCCTACTGCGCATATGCAAACCATCTGTGCATTGCACATATGTATATTTTTGCATGGGAAATCCCTAGTCAGAGCATGAAAGGTTGTGGCAGGGAGGAACTCCAGTGGTAGAGAGACCATGAGAGACTCTGACAGTGGCATAAATTAAAACAGCTCCTTGCCTGTTTTCGCTCATGTCTGGGCCAAAGCTGCAACAAATGAGTTCCTCAGAATCAGGAATGTGACTAGCTGCACAACAGTTTTAATCTCTGTAACAACTGGCTGCAGAGAGAATCTGTATCAAAAGCATTATAGGCAGTGATTATCAGCTAGAATTGCAGCTATAGTTCATCAGGTAGCTCAAGTGGACAAGGTCTGGTATTTTACTTATCCAATAAAATAGTGGTGCTTATGGTGCAGGCCTTAGGGATATGTTTAGCCAATTATCTTTCTTTTATTTCCCAGTAACCCTTTTGCTTCTGTTCTAATATTCTTCAGTGTGTATGCAAGTTATTATGTTCATGTACATCCTTAAATCCCAGTCCTGAGAGTGACTAGTGTGCTCTTTAAACTAAGTCTGCTTTATGTCTGTCTGTAATGAGTTCTATGGAACCAAACTTGAAGATCCCCTTTTTTATGCCACGAGGCAACACTGCGCATCTAACTGATACACTTGAGGGAAGAGGTGTCATATAAAGATACCTTAACAGGCTTGAGAAGTGGGCCAGTGTGAACCTTATGAAGTTCAACAAGGCCAGGTGCAAGTTCCCACACCTGGGTTGGAGCAGTCATCAGTTGCAGTGAGTGGTGAATGCATTGAGACCAGCCATACGGAGATGGACTTAGGGATACTGGTGGATGAAAAATTAGATACGAGCCAGCAATGTGTGCATGCAGCCTAGAAAGCCAATTTTACCCTGAGCTGCATAAAAAGAAGTGTAGTCCTCACCAGGCTCAGACTTTCCCACAGTCTAGACCTTTGCACTGTTGTCTTACCTATCCAGCCCACTCAATGATTTGTTCATTTCCTCCCAGGCTTACCACCAAAACAGTTCAAGCCTTACCCTTCTGAATTTCCAGTCTCAAATTCCCAGTATATATCTCCTTTAACCAGTCATGTTCCTTAACTAATATTCTCTCCCTTTCCTACCTGTCCATACTTTATGTTACATTTCTGCTTTTGTTCCTGGTTTCTCATTGAAAACTGTCAATAGCTATATGCAGTGAATTTATACCTACTTTTATTCTGAGAAGAGCTGTAACATTCTTGGCCAAAAACTTCCAGATAAAATCAGCCTCAATCAAATACTATCAAGGCCAGGTTTTACAAGTATATTAATACAGTAATAACACAACTGTGTAATAAATCATATGGAGTCAATACTTGAAGAGCTGGATTCCACCACTCTGTAAATAAGCCATTGAACCAAAGGGAAATGTCTGAATTAATAAAACAGGCAGAACTTTTCTCAAACAGAAACTAGAAACATATACCTCATAATTGTAATGATTTTGAAAGAAGATGATGGAAAAAGTGCAGCAGACAATAAAGTGTGACATATCAAGTGATCTGTCATTCCTAGTTAGAGTTCCAGCTTCGGTAAGCAGCAAGATAGATGGGGCACTAAAAGAAATAAGAAAAAAAAAAAGGAGAGAAAGAAAGGAACGCTCTAAGGAAAAGAGGATGGGGATAGGGTTAGGAAAATTGTAGATTATTTGAGGCCATCTCCTTGACCCTAGCCTACCCCCCGTGGTGCAACCACTGGTCGGGGTGAAGTAAAGCTGACAATAACTATTCATCATGCTGTAGACTTGAATGTAAAATGAAAACCACAACTATCTCATACGATGCAAGCACGTACAGGAAGAGACTAAATCAATGAAAGATGTTATCCCAAAGCAAAATAGGAATTCTTATTAAATTCAGCTCTTCCTAGAAGAAACTGATTTTTCTGCCATTAAGCTACAAACACGTGCATGTAATACACCTTCATACCTAGTCAGGTGTGTTGAAATTCTGAAGGAGTTTCTTGACCCACTCCTCCAGTTTCTTTTTGTCATTAAGCTGTAATCTGATTTCAAAGATGAGCAGATAATAGTAATTATTTGCTTTCAGAGACATTGCTTGGATTTCCCATCTTTGTTTATTACAGAAGCTTTATTGGTAAAGCTTTTGGTTTTAATTTCTCTACCTGAATGAAGGAATAAAAAAAAAATCATCCTTAGAATACCTGCCATTTCTTCCTGCAAAAGCTGCTTTCTTGAAAGATAGAAGTACAGCAGGTAACAGATTATAGTCAGGGAATTTCTGCAGCTGGA